CGTTTGAAACACCGTTTGGCCCAAATTGAAATGTTCGATAAGACGTGTTTTCCTATGGAAGGTCACATATCTCTAAATTCTGCAGAGTAACCAAAATTTTAGCTGTCTGAGTCTCAAGATGTCTTTTCAGGAGTGTGATCTATAGTGTGTGGGAATGCGTGACTTGGAATGTGGAAACAGCTGAAAGGTTGTTTAGTTCAAAAGTAAAGACCTTCATTATCATAGGTTAGTTTCCAGACCAAACCACTGTGATGACTAGAATAATCCCAGCTCGCTTTGAGTTTCACAACAGAAGCGCTGAAGAGAAAAGTATTCTCTGTCTGAAGTCTGAGTGGTTGTTTTATCAGAACTGGTACCACATGTAGATGTACCATCCTGATTTAATTTAGTGCCCAAGTGCCAATTTGATTTTGGAAACTCCAGGAATGGTGCTTTTCAGTAAAACATATGAAATATGCAATACAGTATTCCTACCTCCTTCCTAACACTGAGCTCCAGTTCTGCCCTGTTATTGCCTATATTAAAGTTATTAGACTCTATAAAATAAATGTTCTGAAAGTGTATCAAAGTAATGAAGGCACTTTTAAAAATTTTCCTGTAGGACATGAGGCATGGAAGGAACTTCATGGTTCATGGTGTGATTCCTGTTACTGTAATCATGTGCATCCCTTTGCTGGGTAAAGATACAGCAATGCATGGAATGTTTGTGGGAAAAAATCAGTCAGATTATAATTATATTTAAAGGTATGGTCAATTTTTCTTTACACATCAAAACATTGTTATTCTTGCTCTAAGTTTTATAACCACCTACAGTGCAGCTCAGATATATCCGAACCAAAATATACGTGTAATTCGCGTCAGCCCAATACGCATATACACGTATGCATATACGCACATACGCGTATGCATATACGCACATACACATACAGTATATACGCGTATGCCTGATTAGTATGTATGAGCTAACCTGTTGTTTTTTCTTCTCTTAACAAGTCATTGTTGTTTTAAATGGCTTTCAATGAATGATCTGTGTCAAATATAACTGGAGATATCATTTTTTCGACGAGGATCTTCAGAACGCTTAATTCAGACAAACATTTCACAAACGACGTGCCGACATGTGCCGAAACACAGATCTTATCTTGTAAAAACATTAAGTTCACGTGTTAAAATAAGAAGTT